GTCAGAACTGGGAGGCTACAGACTCTAAATCCACGGCGTTCCTATATTCATGTTTATTTACTGGCAGGACAGTCTTTAGTCCCGTTACCCAGGGCATGCACCTTCTTCTGTAACGTGAAATGAGGACTTCTTTGCAGTTCCAGACCATGTGATCTGACCGATTCCTATTTATGCTTCTCTTTTCCATTTGTGTAACTTTTCTTCCCTAAAACCTTGTTAAGGAATAATCATTACCTGTAAGTGCTTCCTTTAGAGCTTCTCTTGCTTCTAAGGGCAATCCGCGTATTTAATTCTGTTCAGTGAGAAGTTTCATAAAATACATGAACATTCATTTCATTCTAGTTGAGAATGGAGAACACTAATTCTAATCTAAGGTTCCAGTACCTCGTTTGTGCATACCCTACGTTAAAGGAAGTGAATAGTATCAGACTTATTCTTCCAATAACAGTACTGTGACAATGTTAGCAAAGCTTACAAAGAAAAACATACCTGGAATACAAATTTAAGAGGGAATAAACAAGTGACTGACTAACTACACCCAAAAATTTGATTAATTTGATTTTATCTACTTAGGAATTGCCCTTTCAGATTTTTCTTCTTCAAAGAACAGAAGCAAATCCCTTAAATCTCGCATGAATGTGTTGGTGTTCCGTTATTACAAGTCCTCATCTTCTCGAATTAAAGTAAACACAGAAAAGGTAGGGTATTTTCTTAAAACATTTCCCATTTCTTACTAAAACTTCCATAATAAGAATGCCACATCTGAGATAATGTTATCCCAGTAGATGAACAAGCACTGAAACAAAAGGATTAACCATTGAGGAATCAGAGAGGGTTGGTTGTTGCCATCAGATTTTAAACATTTTTAAAAGCCATGTTGATCAATTTACATTTTATACACAATTAAAAGAATGGCACGTTAAGATAAATGAACTCATTGCTATGCCTTCCAGTGTTACAAGGATGACAAACAAACTTGGAGATCCATGTATGCTTTAAAGAACAGTACATTTGTTTAAATAAACTCATAGAAAACTAACAGAAACAACCATAAAACAGATTTTTAAACAGGTAAAATGAATAAACTGTAAAAATACTGTATCTCCCATAGGCATACTCTGTGGTTCCACCACCTTGTGGCCAACAGAAGTTGCAGTTTTGCTTCATACGGTGCATGCTGATAGCTCTGAGTTGGCAACTGCAGGTCGGATCGAGGCACCAGCAGACACAGCCAACACACTGCTGCCTTTTGCCCTTAGCTGATACAGTGAGAAACAGCAGCATTAAAATACAGCCTGAAATAGCTTAGCTACTACCTCAACTTGTTAAAATTGTGCAAGAGTGAAGAACACCAGCAGCCTTTTAATGGATGTGTTTCAATTTGGTTTCAGACACTCCCCTCCCATACAAAGCACGCACAAACACAAAGCTGAAACTGATACAGTAACTCTGATTTCTTATCCATCTTTGAAAGCTTTTCCCATAGTTTGCTTTACCTAACTTTTAAAAATTTTACTTAAAAAAAACCTATTTAGTGTTAAAAAAAAAAACAACAAACACATGAGAATTTAAAAAATAGTTTCTAAATGCCAGGAAACTGATGCTTATTCCTCTCCTTAAACTGGATACACCCAGACTCTCCTGATCACCTGAATTTCTTTAGTTGAAAGTTTTAATGTTTCAGATTTCTGTTACTGAAAGCTACATTTTTAGAAAGGTCTCTCCAATACACTAGAAACTGAAAGAGCATAACTCCCAGTGCACATGTAAAGGGTAATTTTTTGCTAGTTTGCTCTGATGTTGTTTATATTGTACCTATTTGATACAGAAAATGGAAGAGTTGGGTTTTCTGACACAACTCGCAAGGGAATATATGAGAGTAGAAATCAGAAGGCCTTCTCTAAAGCCAAGGTTTGCAAATCCCTTTTTGCTTAAGAATGATAAGGCTTATTAAAAAATAACAAAGTAAAAACAAAACAAAAAAAAACCACCAACCAACGTCCCTAGGAAAAGGGCATAAAAGCCGTTTGGAAATACTTAATTTCTGAAAACATAAGACTATTTGAAAAAACGTAATTGCAAAATTAAAGGAAATTCAAGAAATCAATTCTCATACTTCAAATCAGTCCATGATTTCATCATCAGCAATAAGATGCGCTATCTTTTCCATCCCAAAATTACCAGCTTTGGGGAAAACATATTAATACTTAACAGAAATAATTAACGGGTTAAGTTAAATTAACTTTTTTCCCTGATCCACATGCCTGCATGTTAGATAACTTTACATTAGAACTGAGCATTGTAATGAGAGACTAAAAGCAACAACCTGTAACAGTAACCAAAGCAAAAGCAGTTTTCTCATGGTTACACCCTATAGATCAGTAATTTAACATTAAAATTAACTTCCTATATAAATAAAAATAAAAAAGTCGGGCAAAAGTAAATTGGCACAGTCATCATGGTATTGCTTTCCAGTTTCAACACTGCAAAGAGCAGCCACAGATTCCAAACACCAAAAGGAAAAGGCTGTCACCCAGCCACCTGGTGTGGTTTGGTTGCTTTTTTTTCCCTTTTAAACAAAGTCGTCAGCAGTGCCGCTGCCTCCGACCCAGCAAACAGTGGGGGCGGGCAGGTGTGCAGCTCGCAGTGCAAGGACTGCTACAGAACCACTGTTTGAACAGGAGAACACACACCTAACAACAAAACCAGAGAGTGTGTTTACTGCTCTGTGTGACTTTCCTTAAGTCAACATTTTTCAGGATTGTGACTAATTTTTACCTTCAAAAAGGCAAAAAAAAATAATTAAAAAAAAAAAATCAAAATCTTAAGCCTTCAAGTGTCTTTGCCTTCATTCCCTCCCTCCCCCTAAAAAGCACCTCCTACTATAAACACTTCTTCTGTTTTACAGGTTCAGAAGTTGGAATGTAGTGGAAATACATACAAGAAAGAAGGAATTTCTAGTTGTACATTACATGACAAAGAGGTTTGCTCCCAGACCTAAGGAGGGAGGGATACTAAGCAATATTAAATTCCTATAAGAGTCCTTACAAAGCATGCAAAATATTGATATACTCACAAAATTGAAATTCATATTTGTTTCTTTTTGGAGTTGTAACTTCACAGTACAATAATTTCTAATATTATGCAGCAGTCAGAATTACAGTGACTACAAAATCATTTCCCTTTAATTTTTTTCTTTCCATTTGTGTGAGAGACTCCTTTGTTTTTTGTTTGTTTTTTTTTTTTAATTGAGACTTTGCAGATCACCCATCAGAAAATGTAAAATTCAGCATAACTGGGGTGGCTTTCTTTGTTGTATTTCCCCTCAAATGATGTTGACAACCTAAGTCTACCATTCTCTCAAAATCTGTCCCTCCCTCCCCTTCCCATGCTAACTCCTTCCCTTGTCTTCACACTGTACTTTCCTTCTTGCCAGGATGAGGATGGACGGATGCCACTAAATGGATGCTGCATAACTGAGTAGGAAGTAAAGGGGGCTGGAATAGCTTATGAAAATGGAATTGCTCCCACCCCACAAGATGTTTGGCACAACTGCTTCATCGCCAGAATACTTTGCTCTGGATACCAGCAATTAGATTTTGCTTTCAATTCCCGAGAGAAACACTGCTGCCCTTTACACCCGTGTAACCTCTGTGGCTTTAACAGATTCAGGCAGAGAAACACAAAGCTGGTATTGGGCTAGACCTTTTGTACTGCTGTATGTAGTTCCACAGAAATTTCTTCACTGCTCTTATTTAAAACAGGGTTGGAATTTCTGGAGAACACACAATGCATGCTACTTGCTAGATTGTCCGTAAAGTACATTCTGACACATTTTACCCAAGTATTTGTATCTATCAGACAAAGACTCTTGTAGAAGCAATGTACAAAGCCTCCAAAAATTCAAGTATCAAAAAAAAGATGTTCTGATAAAAGTTTAGAGTAAGCAGCCAGCCAAACTGATAGCCATTGATTATTATTTTTTTTGTCCACAAATGCTTCGATTATTTTTGCAGTGATAACATATCTTTTCTTTGGAGTGTTGGGAATTAAGAGTCTTTCCAATTAATTTTCATGAAGTTTGGTGGGGGTCTAAGGAATTTAGCAATCCTGCCTGGATAATATTGCCCTTGCTTTTACATGCAAACAAACAACAGAATCACAAACAGAACCACTGACTCTAATCTTCCCTGCCTCTCTTTAATTTGCTGTATTTATTTATAGTGTAACATCATTGGGTCTGGCTCCCTTAACCAAAAAAAACCCACCAGAAGTGCAACACAGGCAAGAGCAGGGCATCTCCTTCCCTAGACTGTATAAACATTTCCAAGGGAAGGGGTGGATGACACAAAAAAAAAAGCAAAACCCCAACAACCAGTCAAACAAACCAACAGTTCTAGTTGTACGCAAAACTATTTCATTTCTTTAGAACCTGGTTCAAATCGAGACTTGAATTTCTGAGGAGGGAATCTGAGATCCCAGACCCTTCCCTCCTCCTCTCCTCTTGGAAAGCAATGCTATTTTTGCAGCCTAGAACAGTACATTAAAAACAGCAGTTATTAAAGACACAGTTGTGATATATCCTTTAACTCCCCCTCACCCAAAAAGGGGTATCCTATCAAGTGGTCCAGTAGAAATCTTGACGTTTCTTTATGATAAATTAAATCCATAAAATGAGGAATACCTTCTGTCACATTCCCAACAAGAATAACAGCCACACTCTGTGGTGCATTTCTTCAAGTGTCTATTGCTCCTTCTAGTGGAGGTTCTGCACAGCTCCAGCTCCAGTTCAGTTCTGGTCCTACCAATCAAAAGTAAAGATTTTTCTCCTTTCCCTTCAGCTTGTCTCTGGTTAACAAACAACAGAAGCACTGAGGGCCATAATTTCCCAGGACAGGAACAGGCCAGTAATGTCTGAAGAAACACCGGTCGTCTTTCTCTCAGGCGTGGCAGATCTATGCCCAGAGCAGTTTTTTGTGTCCTGTTCGTTTCGCGGGCACCTACACCTCCGTGGAAAAGAGAATGCTTTGCCTCTTGCTGTCTGGGGTAGGGATAGTCTCTAGCTGCAGGAAGTACAGGAGAACTTGAACCTGGAAAGAGAAAGAAAGAGGTAACAATAAAGCTCTGTTAACTCAGTCTCCTCCCCGTTATTTGAGAGTTGGCAGACACGCCTACAGCTCTCTCGACAGGAACATCCTGCAGTTATCTATTTGTTTTAATACAGTGTATAATAATAGGAATATTAAAACTTGCAGTGCTCCAGAGACACTCTCCTCAGCTTCCAGGGAATAAAAAAGGCGTTGGTGTTCCACCGCACTGAAAAACCCTGATGTATAATTTGCCATTGCTCAACCACTAAAGTACGAAACAGCCTGACCATTAAGGCAGCCTCCACGTTCGAATTCTCTGCATCGCCTTCAAACAGCAGCAACGGCCAAGGAAATCTGAATTTAGCAAAGAATTTTGTTGTGCATCAGTGAAGGTGGTTTAACTGTTGAGGAGCATCGCAGAAGCACACTGACAGGCCTTTTCTCCCTGGCCAGCAATGCAGCACTGGGAGACAGCCCTCAGAAAGTCCTGCTCTGCGCAAAACACACAGGATCGTGTGCGGACTGACATTTTTCCATGAAAAGCTGTATTAGTGCTGATGCAAACCAAACTGCCTGAAGAAACACAGTTCCACAAACAGTCTAAAATGTCTGTGTAAGGGTGAAAGGTGTTTATGTTTCTAAAAAAAAACCTGTCATGAAAACACAGAAGGGTGGCTGAACCAGGCCTTGCTAGAGGACGGCAGTTTCCCACAATTGTCTTCACAAGATTCCATAGAACATTCAGAAATTTACCTGGGACATGACTTCTAGTGACCAACTATCAGTCATTGTGATAGGCTGGGTGGGGTTAGCAGGGATTTTACTGTCCTTCTCCGACGGTCTGAGCAGCGTTGGTCCAAAGACAGTTGCAAGATTATGCAGGGACATCTTGTTAACGCTTTCTCTCTCAGCAACCCTGGGAGAAGAAACAATGAACAGGGCAGATCTTTATAAATATCTGAGTTTGGAAGTGTCCTTAAGAAAGAAACCATGTTCATTCCTTTTGTAAAAAGTTTTAGATATGTTCAATCAACCACTCTCTCCGTATGGGCCTAAATTAACTTTACGTATAAGCAATACCTTGATCTGACACAACCACAGTCTCCAGGCACTCTACGGACACAGTTTAAACTTGGCGAAGGGACTGCTGCTGACTGTCGGGACAGGCACAAGTGGGACAGGAATAAAGGAAAGGTTTTCATCCCAGTTTCATAAATGAGAAACTGAGACACACAGGTTAAAAACTTTACCCAAGGGCAGAAAAGTCTGCAGCAGAAACACAAGTAAAACCCAGATTTCCTGGATTTTAATCCAGAACCTTAGTCACAAGATTATCTTTCATCTCTCCAGTGACACTCTGGTACGTACAAAATGCATATGCAAATTGTATTAATTTGCTTAATTAATTAAGCAAGCTTACTGCGTTAATATCAAACACATGGAAGTACTTTTTCACAGTTACAACCACACGTACAAAGACTTAGACAGGATCAGAAAGACTAATCTAAGCAAGGAACGGACAACTCCAGTTAGCAGAAGTGCAAAGCAGGAATTTTTAAAAATACATCATGTTAGATCACAGACCCCTTTTGAGACTGAGCAGCTCACAAGCCCTTCAACATGGCCAAACCTTCACGATTTATACCAAAACCTTTCCTGATCTTTGTATCCAGATGCAGGTGCAGTTTTGCAGCAATATTGCAG